GTGTGTGTGTGTGTGTGTGCGCACGCTCCACACACATGTGTCTGTACATTTTTGCTGTGTGTTAGAGGCTTGTGGTAGGATGGGGGGTGCAGGTTTAGAGCCATTCAGGTCAGCCTGACAGTGCTGCTGCGTTTCATTCAACCAGATTGTAGTAACTTTACTTTACATGCCCGATAACGGTAACAGCATCACAACGATTGGAAAAGTAATTAATTAGATTACTCTGTTAACTACAGATTAATGCTACTAGAATCATCTTCAGTATGTTCATTCCGTGTGTTTTGTCAACTTGCATTACTTGGTTCTCTTAAAACACTGAAATCCTTTACCTTGTTTTGCAAACGCTTCGGCTTTGGCAATGCAAGTTCACGCTGTTATACTTAAACACTGTTACTCTCAACACTGCCAATCAGAGTTGGACCGGGACTAAAACTCAGCCTGGGCATTTAGAGCTGAGACCGACCCACCAGTTATTGATGAAAAAACAATGAACATACTTTTTCTACACCAGCTCTCTAACCCTGGACCTCAACATTCCATATCCATCATGTTTTAGTTATTTCCCTGCTACAGCACAAAAACTGTGCTTACTTTGTTTCTTAACGCAACAACACAATGCTACAGAACATCAACAGACTAAGAAAAACTGCTGATAGCAGCCCGTCACGCCACTCCTGCCCACCCTTTTTTGTGTTGTGATTGACTGCACTGTCAGTGCTCTCTGAAACTGTCAGCCCATGATTGACTGACAATGTCAAACATGTAAATGCTGGCAACACACTGCTAGTCCTCTGTATCTAATTGGCCAACAAAATTGGATGGAATTTAGAGAGAGAGGAAAAAAAAAACATCGACCCACATTGGGTAATTGGACCACCCGACGATGCCCGGTATGCCAGATGGCCAGTCCACCCCTGCTGCCCATTAAAGAGGTCTTTGTCCTTTTTCTCTTCACCTTGTCCTACTTGTAAAAAACAAACAAACAAACAAACAAAAAACAGGTAAAACTGTCATCTACATTTTGATATCTACTTTTATTTCACTTGGGACAATGAAACACAAAAATACGTTACGATAGCAAACGCAGATGCAACACAGGGAGAGGTTAAAAGCCAAGACCGTTTTTGAGTCCACCTACAAAACCTGACAGTTTTATGCTATTAAACATTTATAACATCTTTTGTTGTATAAGAATCAACAAACACAATTATAATACATTTCCTTACAATTTTAAAAATAAAAATGAAATAATCAACAAAGAGAAGAACAAAACATGTAAAAATGACTTTTTTAAGGAAGTGGTAAAATGTGGTTAACTTCTCTATACAGGTGCTGGCCAGTAAATTAGAATATCATCAAAAGGTTGAAAATATTTCAGTAATTCCATTCAAAACGTGAAACTTGTACATTATATTCATGCAATGCACACAGACCAATGTATTTCCAATGTTCATTACATTTAAATTTGATATTTATAGGTGACAACCAATGAAAACATCAAATCTGGTATCTCAGAAAATTAGAATATTCTAAAGGCCAATGAAAAAATGTTTGTTTCTCTAATGTTGGCCAACTGAAAAGAATGAACATGAAAAGAATGTGCATGTATAGCACTCAATACTTAGTCGGGGCTCCTTTTGCCTCAATAACTGCAGTAATGCGGCGTGGCATGGACTCGATCAGTCTGTGGCACTGCTCAGGTGTTATGAGAGCCCAGGTTGCTCTGATAGTCGTCTTCAGCTCCTCTGCATTGTTGGGTCTAGCGTATTGCATCCTCCGCTTCACAATACCCCATAGATTTTCTATGGGGTTAAGGTCAGGCGAGTTTGCTGGCCAATCAAGGACAGGGATACCATGGTCCTTGAACCAGGTGCTGGTGGTTTTGGCACTGTGTGCAGGTGCCAAGTCCTGTTGAAAGGTGAAGTCTGCATCCCCATAAAGTTGGTCAGCAGCAGGAAGCATGAAGTGCTCTAAAACTTCCTGGTAGACGGCTGCATTGACCCTGGACCTCAGGAAACAGAGTGGGCCAACACCGACAGATGACATGGCACCCCACACCATCACTGACGGTGGAAACTTTACACTGGACCTCATGCAACGTGGATTCTGTGCTTCTCCGCTCTTCCTCCAGACTCTGGGTCCTTGATTTCCAAAGGAAATGCAGAACTTGCTTTCATCAGAAAACATAACTTTGGACCACTCAGCATCAGTCCAGTCCTTTTTGTCCTTGGCCCAGGCGAGACGCTTCTTGCGCTGTTTCTTGTTCAAGAGTGGCTTGACACACGGAATGCGACACCTGAATCCCATGTCTTTCATGAGTCTCCTCGTGGTGGTTCTTGAAGCGCTGACTCCAGCTGCAGTCCACTCTTTGTGGATCTCCCCCACATTTTTGAATGGGTTTGTCGTCACAATTCTCTGCAGGGTGCGGTTATCCCTAGAGCTTGTACACTTTTTTCTACCACATTTTTTCCGTCCCTTCGCCTGTCTGTTAATGTGCTTGGACACAGAGCTCTGTGAACAGCCAGCTTCTTTAGCAATCACCTTTTGTGTCTTGCCCTCCTTGTGCAAGGTGTCAATGATTGTCTTTTGGACAGCTGTTAAGTCAGAAGTCTTCCCCATGATTGTGGTGCCTTCAAAACAAGACTGAGGGACCTTTTAAAGGCCTTTGCAGGTGTTTTGAGTAAATCAGCTGATTAGAGTGGCAGCAGGTGTCTTCTATATTCAGCCTTTTCAGAATATTCTAATTTTTTGAGATACCAAATTTGGAGTTTTCATTAGTTGTCACTTATGAATATCAAATTTAAATGTAATGAACATTGGAAATACATTGGTCTGTGTGCATTGCATGAATATAATGTACAAGTTTCACGTTTTGAATGGAATTACTGAAATATTTTCAACCTTTTGATGATATTCTAATTTACTGGCCAGCACCTGTAGTACAGAAATGTGACTTCAACAAGTGAAGATTATTATGGTAGTTTATTTCTTTACTTTCACATCCAAAAGGGGTTAAATGAAGGCAACTCGGCTTCTTTGGTTTCTTGACGAGGTTTCGCTTCGAGCTTTGAGACAAATATGGGCAAAAATAGGAATGTCCACTATGATTGGCTGATATTGGCATTAAAATGAAATATCAGAAATTATTGGTATGGATTTTTAGTCTTGGGCTGCGCAGTGATGCAGTGGTTAGAGCTGTTGCCTTGCAGCAAGAAGGTCCTGGGTTCGCTTCCCAGCCTGGGATCTTTCTGCATGAAGTTTGCATGTTTTCCCTGTGCATACGTGGGTTCTCTCTGGGTACTCCGGCTTCCTCCCACAGTCCAAAAACATGACTGTTAGGTTAATTGGTCTGTCTAAATAGTCCTTAGGTGTGTGTGTGTGTGTGTGTGTGTGTGTGTGTGTGTGTGTGTGTGTGTGTGTGAGTGTGTGTGTGTGTGTGTGTGTGTGTGTGTGTGTGTGTGTGTGTGTGTGTGTGTGTGTGTGTGTGATTGTTTGTCCTGTGTGTCTCTGTGTTTCCCTGCGATGGACTGGCTCTCTGTCCAGGCTGTACCCCGCCTGATTGCCCATTGACCGCTGGAGATAGGCACCAGCGCCCCCCGCGACCCTACGTGGACAAAGTGGGTTCAGTCAATGAATGGACGGATGGATTTTTAGTCTTTTAATGACACAACATTTACATTCCATGCACATATTATATATCAAACGTGAAAAGGACAGAGCTGAGGTTTTATTTTTTAAGGTATTTTTGTTTGGTAGATCTGGGCTAACCAATGGAAGATGTCATATTGTACACAGATAATGTTTAAAGCTCAAGTATGAATGACAGGAGGTGTGTGTCATTGGTTACCTTGGTGTTGGTTTATATTAGTGTCAGGAATGAAGAGTTACGCTATATTGGTGTATTAGCTAAAAATCCCCACATAGAACATCCCAGGTTAAAAGCTGAGCAACTGTCAAAAAAAGCTTAGTTTAGATTATTTAATATCAGCTCACATGTGTTTGATTCATTTATTTATCCATTAACCCTCTGGAGGCAGGCGTTGCAGATTTACAACGTTAAAACCTACCTACCTGGTTACTCCACATACGTATTTCATGAACATTTTTTAACTCAGAAGTACCCCTGAAGGACTTAGTTGTTCGTCTTTTTATCCAAACTTATTTTGAGCCTGAGAGAGTTAAAGGGACATTTCTGCCACAAAAACAAACCACAGTAAAACTACAGAAGTTTGTTCCTTAACTAAATATTGGAATAAATGTCAACTCGTCTTCTTTCCTTCAACAGACTTACAGTGTTCTGACTCCATATCCTGAACTATCTGGGTGGAAAATGATGTTTTAAATCTGCTTCTATATTCATAAAAGTGCTTGGCTGAAGAGGCGTTTACAGCCTGGCAGGCCAGACAGGTTTGACCTTAACTGGCTCGACATTTTTAGTTTGCTTCTACAGAGCAAGTTTTTATTGATTATTGCCCGTGCAGATATAGACTGGGTTCACATATATATTAATGGATTCACAGTAACACCAAGATTTGTTTACAAGAGATAAATAAATCCCTCAAAACACAACAATTAGCGCAGATTGAGTTAATTTTGTTTCCCCGCATTTAAACAGATGTTAATCATAGATAGACGATGTTCTTGTGTCTGTACTTGGAGTATAAGAGTAAACATCACCACAACATGATGTGGTTCTGGGTCTAAGTGTGCATGTTCTCTCGATTAAAACCATTTATCTTGACTCCAGACCTACAGGCCTGTCTCCCACAGCGCTTCTTCAATGAATTATGGGGGCAGGCCTAGAAGGCTGACCCGCTGTAAAAGCTTTCCATCAATAAAAGTATTTTGGCACAATCACCATCGGAAATCAACAATGCTGCATTATATACAAGAAGGGTGGGAGGGTGTGTGAAAGGGACACCAGAGGGAAGTCGGCTGCACCATCATGAGATGATTGAAGCATTGTCATATAATAACATTTTTTATCTTTTTTCTTGCAGATTACACTCATGAGCTGAGATTCTACCTTATCCACATGACGGAGGTAAGAGAAAAGATTGGGTTTGTTGTGTGAAAGGCAGAAATAAAGCGGGTAGACTAGGATCTAATGTGATCAGCCTATTTCGTCTGCCAGCCAGAGGGGCAATAGACTCTGGTCGAAATGAAATTACAGGAAAGACTCAAGGATTAGCAGAAAGCACTAATGAAAACATCCCCTTTTCCTTCTCAGACCTTTCTCTTTTAAACATATATTGTTCACATTTGTTTAAGACATGCAAAGGCAGAAGTCACACCTCAAGATGTTTCAGTAATTGTTGCACAATCAGGCAGCTGAGATTTTAAGACGTTTACATCCAGGCATGTTGCACACATCAAATCTCTGTAAACGTGATTCATCTGTTTGTTTACGTTTAGGTTCAGTGGGCTGTTTACTAGTTATGAAAATAATCACACTTTCTTCCGTCTGCTGCAACACCTCTCGTGGTGTCTTGTTAAGATGAAAGGAAAAAAGAAAGGGTCACTTAGAGCCATGTGAAAAATTACAAAAACCGTGTGCAAAAGTCTATTTTCTTCAACATATGAGGAGTTATGTTCTGAAATGGTCACAAAGATTTGTCTTCTCTGGAGCAGCAGGGAAGACAGTCTAATTAAATTAAGGGTGGTTTTATGCCCCCTGTGCTGGGGGCGCTACCCCCTCAACCCTGAGTCGGAGAAGCAGGCTAAAACAGAAGGAAGGACTTGAATTCCCAAACCTTAATTAGAATTTAAAAGAGGTGAAAAATCTTCAAGCAACAGGCCAATAAGTCGGTTTGCTTTTAACTTCTTTGTCCTGCATGGCTGCAAAAGACTCTTTATGTAATCCTAGTGAGCACATTGAAGACATAAATTATTATCTGTTGCACTAAGATGAAAAACTTCCTTTCATTTTTGCAGAGGTCCCATAAAAGCTCCTATAAATCTTTAAAAGTCAGTTTTGTCATTTTAAATCAATGCATTTCATGACTCATCATTTTGATAGCTAAAGACTGATCATCTGAGAAGGGGCTTAAAATATAAACTGTGGAGACTGCTGCTCTAGTTTTCCAAAAGAAATACAAAAATGTCTAGCCTTTGTAGCTCATCTGCAGTTTGCTTCAGCTGTGAAGATCCATCATGGCTTTACTGAGCACATATATACACACCTTGTTTTCTGTAGACGCACGCACGCACGCACGCACGCACACACACACACACACACACACACACACACTTTCTTACATTGTGTGGAATGTGCTGTGTAGCCTTGTTATAAGCTCATGAATCTTTTAAAAAGGCTCCTCTCTCCTTGAAATTCCACACTGAATGAGACAGGTCTGGGATCTGTCCCCCAGGCTGGAAAAGAGGGAGGAAAAGGCTTCAATATTAGTCAGTCTATTCAATTAGGCCACATTTAAAAATAGAACAGTAAGAGCGTGTGGATAGAAGAGGGTATGAGTAAGTAAAAAAGGTGGTTGCATCAACAGCAGAGAATAATTTGGCCTGTATTTGACAAGTTTCCTAATTTTATTTTATATGAACCATATATATTATTTTACTAAATACATGTCATACATTAAATGTTATTCAGATGTCACTTTTTGGATCCTTTTGTGCTGCCATGTGGGTCTCTACTGCCTCTCCAAACATGAAAAAAAAAACTGTTTTCTGTCAGAGTGTGGTTTTAGGAATCATGTGCCTAAAACAATCTGTTTCAACAAGTATCTAATTGTGATGTCACAAACAGGGAAAGTAGAATAGAACCATCTCTTATGTGTAGGAGAGAGCTGTTGCCGGAGGAGCAGAGGCTCTACTCTGAGCCCCTCTCAGTAATCAGAGCTTCACAGCCTATAGCAGCCTGACCAGGGATTGGTGGGTGTGCCCATCAACAGGTTGTTTCCTAAAGTGACATAACCCTGAAACAGCTCATTCTGGAAGGTACTGAAAATGTCTAGAATAAAACTGTTGAAATTACTTGAAGTGAGAGGCATTTAGTGCAGAGAACGTCATGAACTTGGTTTTCATTAACAATAGAACTATTACAGCTTAAGAAAATTGTCGTAACATGTCTCATTTAACATATGAAACCCAGCAGTTGCAGCGGTGAGCTCAGTTTTTACATCACGAGTTTGATAAGACCTCCTAATTCTGTAGATGAGAAAGCCTCGCACCCCCCCCCCCCCCCCCCCCCCCCCCCCACACACACACACCCCACCCCCTCATACCAAAGCCTGGAGTGTATGACAGATGTCAGATAACAGGGCAGAGAAATAGCAGTGACATCCTCTATGCCCGTTATTTTCCCAGCCTTCCTGTAAGATGCCTCAATAGAATTTCTCTCTCTCTCTCTCTCTCTCTCTCTCTCTCTCTCTCTCTCTCTCTCTCTCTCTCTCTCTCTCTCTCTCTCTCACACACACACACACACGCACGCACGCATGCACGCACGCACGCACGCACACACACACACACACACACACACACACACACACACACACACACACACACACACAAACAGGATCTACAGTTATCTGTTATGGTGGATTCAGTGGTTCATTTCATACCTCAGGGAGCAAACAGTAGCCACAATAAACACAGCATACAATCCACCATTACAGCTGCTCTCTTATTTCTCACAAGCACAGCTGGAAACACCACGAGATGTTTGTTATATCTTTAACACGTAGACTGTTTGTGCTTGTTTTAATGAAAGAAAATGTTGGATTGAATACAGTTAACTCCATCCTGAATCACAGCTGTAGTTTTGGTTTGTTATGTGATTAAAGGCTTTAAGAGTTGTTGACTCTGATTTGTCAGTGATAAACATTGGAAAAATGTGATGTGAATGTAAAACAAACAGGAGAAAATGAACATGAAGAATGTCAAAAAGGACGATAAAACAGAAAAACACCCAAGTGATTCTAACTATATCGGTTACCACTGACTGCAAGTTAGTGTTTACTCAAAAACTGAATGTGTGTAAAGCGATCGTCTCTAATTAGATTGCTCTTTCTGATTTGTCTGTGTAAAGGTCACGTATGTGCACAGAGTCACCAAAGTGGACAAAAGGAAAACAAAAGACGTTTAGGACATTTTCCCATTGCTGTGTGTGTTTGTGGTTAAACACTTTGTTTGGGGTTTGCAGGATTTGTTTTCTGTGCAGACACACTTTTCCAGTCCTTGGTCCTTCTCAGATCTAAGTTCAGTGAATATCTCTTAAACACAAAGCCCTTATTATGACTGTCTTTGTTATTCACATCATACAAGTTCATCAGGAAGGATCACAGGGCTCTTTATGCTTTCAAAACATGCAGCCGTGAGCACAGAACCAAAGGGGCTTGGCCTACAACTTAGTGAGCACCATAAAATGTGTGTTCCTTTAACAACGATGATTGATGAGTTGGGTTGGGATTCTCTTAGTGTCTGTCCAAATGCAATCAATCAGAGTAGTTGTGCGTCATACTCAATGTGTTCTTCTTCTTCTCGGAAACAGTTTTATTTGTGATTTTTTATCTTGTGACTGGCTGGTTATGAACTCTGATTACTATGTCACACTTTTTATTTAGTGTCAGCTAACCCTTCCATGTCACAGGTGTTTTGGGTCTCACTACCTATTTGGTGGATTGGATTACTAAGAGACTAGAAAAATGTTTTCTGGTCTGATAAGTTTTGATTTTAGCTGCGTTATTCAGATGGTTGGGTCAGAATTTAGTATCACCAACATTACAGCATGGATCCATCAGTGGCAGATCTAGTATGGGGTACAGTATTTATAGGGACCAAGCATTAGCCCAACATCCTTGTAGAAGGTACCACTCTGGAAATTCCCATTTGGCTCATTAACACCACTAGTGTTTGGACTTGGAATTGCATCCATGTATCACAGGGCATTTCAGGGGGCCAAACTGATATAAACTCATTCACTGCCAATGACGACTAAAGTCGTCATTTGCATTTTTTTTACTGTGTGGGGTCGGAACGAGCCCTCGCACAGTGAAAACAAACATCCCAGCTCTAAAGCTGATCTTCATCCACATACGTCACATGTCACATGATCAGGAACGGATCTCCTCTCCCCAGCGTAGCTGCTGTTTAATGACCAGATTTATAGTGATTCTTTCATCCTGGAAGAAGGATTTGAAGTTCGCTAAACTTACAGCCATTTTTCTGTCCTCTTCTGTATCCAGTGGTGGCGCCAGGGGGCGCTAGGGGGTGCAATAGCTACCCCCGGATTAGTCACTGCACCCCCATAGCACCCCCAAGTAAATATTAGATTTTTTTTACACTTTAATTTTAATTTCAATGTGTGGATGTGATAATATTTAACATACAAAACAAAAATAATCAGTGAATCATCCTATAGATAGTAAAAACTTAAACCAAAACAGGACATTGATGTTAACCTTTGACCTCATTTTCCACTTGCAACACTATAGATGGTTTTCTGTGTGGCTGTGTGTGTTTATGATTTCATGGAAAAGTCAGCGATTGTTCATATGTTTATGATGTATATTAATGATTGTTTCAGGTGTTGTTGAGGTTTTGTGCACGCATGTGTATCTGCTAGTGTTGAAGGTGTTTTAGAGAACAATTGGTACGCATGACCACTTCCTTCATAGCACCCTCACTAAAAAGACTAGCTCCTTCATAGCACCTGCAGAAAAAAATTTCTGGAGCCGCCACTGTCTGATTTGATAATGTCAATTTTGTGAGACGGAACATTTGTAGTCCTATGTGTCTTTTCAGACCAAAAAAAATAACTTGCTGCCTGTCTGAGAGGTTTCTTGGCATCAAAATGTGTCTTTTTTTAATTCACCGACATGTTAAATCCTTGGCACAAATCAAACAGAATCAGAAAATATTTTTTTCTGGCAGTAGGGGACCCATGGTCTGGAAGTAGATAGGCATGAGGCTCTCTATGGAATCTGTCCATCTTCACAAGTTCAGGCTGCTAATGGTAGTGGTGTAATGGTGGGAGGGAGGTTTTCTTGGTCCACCTTGGGACTCTAATGGGCCATTCCCATCTGTACC